GGGGGGTCCCAGCCCAGACCCACCCCTACCAGGGGTTAGGGAAGGTTTGCCAGGAAAGAGACACTGAAGCTGAAGTCAGCAAGTGGAGTCAGCAAGCTGGGGGAGGAGAGAGTTCCTGGCAGAGGAATCAGCTCGGCAAAGGCCCTGAAGAGAGAGAACAGAGCACATGGGGCCTGGGGAGGCTCCTGCGCCTGGAGCCGAGAGAATGAGCGGGAGGTCAGTGGGGCCAGATGGGGAAGGGCTTGCAGAGAGACACGCTGGAGCATCTGGACTGCATCTCAGAACACTGGGGAGCCACCGAGGGGGTTTAAGCAGGGGGTGCCGTAGACAGATTTCCATCTCAGGAAGGCCCAGCTCTGGCTGCAGTGTGGAGGGTGAGGGTAGGGCAGGAGAGGTAGGCCAGGAGGTGGACGTCACTGGTGGTCCAAAGTAAAGGAGGGGCCGTAGAGATGGTGAGAAGACAGCATGGAGAATGCTCCTAGCATGCAGGATTGAGTAGGAGGCCTGGAGGTGACTGACACTGGCCTAGGGCTCTGGGGGTAGCAAGGCAGAGAGCCTTACAAACATTGTGCAGAGATTCGCACCCCACACCACCACATTGTGAAGAATTCCCCTCTGCCCACCTTCAGCCTAATCGCCATCCCTCCTTCTCTAATTTCCCTACAAGGGCAAACATGTTTCATGGGCTTCCCATCTTTCACGTGGCCTTGGAGGCTATGTGAGGCCCTGCCAACTCCTCCAGACTCACTGCCTGCTTCCAGCTGTCCTCTTCCTCACTCTCTGTGCTTCCTCCAAGCAGCCTCCTCACAATTCTTCAAGCTTCAATGTTCCTTCTAGCCACGGGGCCTTTGCACATTCTGTCCCTTCTATAAAACTCCCCTTCTTTCTCAAGTTACCTCCCAGTTCAGTGCTTCTTTGGGGAAGCCCTCGCTGTACTCTGGACACCAGTCAGGTTTCTTGAGTCCAGGTTCAGAGCACATCAAGTTCAACTCCTTCTCTTTAGACCACTTCTCTCTCTTAGCAATTAAGCACCCGTCTGAGTGATTATTTGATTACTGTAAACTCCAGGAAACCAGAGACAGGATCTGGTTTCGCTCACCGTCTAATCCTCAACCCTTTGCCTGGCACGTAGCTAGCTCTCAATAAAAAGTTGTTGAATAAATGAATGAATGAATATGCTCGAAAGCAGCACTGCCTGATAGAAATATAATACGAGTGACATATGTGATTTTCAAGTTTTTAGTGGCCATATTACAAAAGTAAAAAGAAATAAGGTGAGATGAGCATCATCATATATTTCATTTAGCCCTCTAAATCCAGCATATCTTTTCAAAGTATAATCAGTATTTCTAAATTATTATTATTTTTTTCTACTAAGTTTTCTAAATCCAGCACATCCCAGTCTGGATCAGCCCCATTTCCAGTGCTCAATAGCTGCATTTGGCTAGCGGTTGCCACGTCTGGCCACTACCTCTAGAGTCATACCTGCCAGGGCCGACGCTCATTCTGAGCCCTGGTTCAGAGGGCAGAGAGATGCTCCCTTGTTTCTTCCTGTGTCATCAGTCTCCTGGGCCTCGCTCCTCTCCCCTCAGGCCAGGGAGCTTCTCTTTGTCTCTTTCATTGCCTAAGTTAGAGGATGAGACCTTTCATCTTTGTCTGCCCATCAGGGCCCCGTCTCTTCCCCCAGTGCCTCCCTCCCCTCTTTCATCCAGTGCAACGAAGCTAAGATGGGACTTGGAACAATAGGAAAGGCTGCTTCATCCCTGGGGAGGGGTGTGATGGGGCCACTGAGCCTGTAACCCACAGCTTCAGGGGAAGAAGGGACTGAGCCCAAGCTGGGGTCAGAAGGCACTTCCCATGGTGCTCTGGGCTGTGGGTTTTGCTGACCAGATGCCTGGGGAAGGCAGCTCCTCTGATAATACAAAGCAGATTTCCCCCAGCTTTGTGGCAGCTGGTAGGCAGGAGGCCAGGGGATAAGATTGAGGCTCCAGGCATCTGGATTCAGAAGGGCTGAGGCCAGGGGGAGCTCCTTCAGCTTCCAGCTCCCTGTCTTCCCCAATACCCCCTGCCCTCATGCTGATCCCTCCCACCTACACCAGGCTCCCCTGGGTCCCACCTGGGCTCCAGATCACTCTCCAGCTCCATCAGAGACCCCCCAGTTCTCAACACACATCCTTGGGGATCTTGGATGCAACACCCTCATTGAGGTGGGCACCCAGATTCGCTCTCCAGGCAGACCCTGAGTGGCCCTATTCTCCACACCCCAATTCTACCTATTCCAGCCCTCCAATCATCTCAGAGGTGAGGTCAGGATCATTTCCCTAAGGCTCTAAGTGGAATAACACCAAGAGTGTTCCAACACTCACCCCTCATCACTCCCAGGGCACTCAGTCCTGCCCTCTTCCTACAGCATCCAAGCACTTCCCAATCCCTTTGCTCCCTTCCCGCAATCCCTGCTCCAGCTGTTTCCAGCAACATTCCCAAAGGGCTCCTGGGAAGGGTGGGATTGGGTCTCCTCCCTGGGTGGGGACTGTTCCCTTTGGAAAAGTATGGGAATGCACAAATACCCTTCCCATTTTCTAATGACTTATTAAATCTAGGGGGTCCCTCTGTGTCACCTAGGAGCCTGATGCCCTCCTAAGACGCCCTCAGCACTGTCTGGCTTGGGCCTGGGCTCAGCATCCACATTCCAGAGGCCCACCCCATCCCGGGGCCCAGGGCTTTAGTCAACAATCCAGATGGTTCTCATTCTACTCCTACGCACCTTGGGATGCCAGCGATCCGCATTGGATGTGTGGGCCAGCGGCACGGCAGGCCTCCATTTGTCGACCTTGATGCCGCAGGTGATCATGCTGTGACCTCCTGGAAGATCATGCTGAGAGCCCAGAAGCCAGCCACCTGGGAGCTCCCCTTTCCTCACCTTGCGTACCAGTTCAGATTTTTTATGTTGTAAGAGGGAGAAAACCCAACCCAGAGTGGTTTACAGGAATTTACTGTCCGTCAAAAACGAAAGGTCCAGGGGTTGGGCTGGCTCTAGGCACAGCTTGATTCAGAGACTCAAGCAAAATCCCGGCACCCAGTTTCTCCCCCTCCGTCTCTCGCCTCCATTCCCTCACATAGACTCTTCCCTTGTAGTGATATGTTGGCTGCATGGCTTCAGGTTCAAGCCTGTGGGAGAGAGACTCAGCCTCCATCCTGCAAAAGTCTCCAGGTGTCCTTGGTCCTGATTGGCCCATTTGGCAAATGGCGATCGCTGATTGGGTCACATGCTCCATCCACTTGGCAAGGGTGTTGCCCCACCAGAAACTTTGGGGCTGAGCAGGGGAAACTGAGGTACAGTCACCAAAAGGGGACACTCCAAAAAACAAATGTAAGTCCCCATCCTAGATCAACACTTGGGCTTGTTCCTCCTCACCAGGCAACCTGAGCAGGACTCCACCCCCAGGCCAAGTTTGTCTTTCTAGTAAGAATCCCCATGAAACAGCAGGGATATCATGGTACTAAGG